TAAAACGAGGCGATAGAAATTTCGAGATCTAGCGTCTCGATCCGTGAAAAATTGTGAAACCTGCGCCGCCGGTCAATAGCCGAGCGGGCCGTTATATACATTCCCGGGATTTGCCTATTTCTCTATTGTAATTATACTTTGCTAAAATTTTATTAGATCTTTTCTTTTAATAATAAATGTCCAAATGCCCTCGTTATTAATAAATATATATATATATATATATATATATATATATATATATATATATAGGTATATACATATATATGTGTGTAGGTCCAGAGGTATGTTCCGGGACTGTTTACGTTTTTTGAAATGTACAGTCCTGGAATATAACGCATATATATGTAGTCAGATTCAAAAAACTGTCCCGAAAATTGCCGTAGGACATGAATTTTTTCCAGGACAGTCCTGGAAACTGCCAAATGTCCCGGAATATACCGATATCAAAAATAAAAGTCCCGGAACATATTTCCGGACCTACATATATATATATATATATATATATATATATATATATATATATATATATATTGTAAAATGAATACCATTTATTTCATAGAATAAGACCTCGTCCTCATCAGCTTCCTTGCTCTCTCGAAAATCGACCACGGTCCGATCCCTGGTTATATGGATTAATTTCCTTGACTAAAAATAGGACCACGAGTGCACGAAATTCACAGTAGGCGTATATAATAGCGTCCCTTCTGGACATTGACTCATGACTGGAGTTTCCCGAAACGTGCATTCGTCTCGAGGCACTCGTCTTTTCCAGCGTGCGCCCGAAATACGATAAGATCTCGTTACGTCTTCCTATCTCCCCTCCTCTAGATAGCCCTTTCCTTGCTATTCTTCTAAACCTAATATTCTACAAATTCCGGAGCTTGACGTAACAATATATTATAATTCGTTTTACAATTATTATATTTCGTTTATAATTTGTCTCAAGTAGGAGAATACAGATTAAATAATATATATTACTTAATTACAATACGATTGCCGATTATACAATTCCTTCTCGACAGATTCTTACTTACGATCACAATCGCTTTCACAATGTACTCATCGCCAAATAATCGACGGTACAATTACAGCAGGTGAACGACGACTTATCGGGGGAACGACTCCCGGAATTACAGTGGAACGCAGTACGGCTTTCCGGAGAGTGAATTTTCCGGCAGTCTGGTGCTCCGGCAGAGGTCCAGCGTGAGCTGAATAGTTAGCGCGTGAGTATCTCATAAATTTCACCGGTGAGCCGGTGGCTTAGGTCGCGAATATTCGTAGCCCAGTCAATAGAGCCCGAAAAAACCGCTGAAATGGAATTAATTCCGGGAAGCGATTTTTTTTCTTTGACTGTTTTGGAGGGTCATGGGTAGTCTAAAACCGGATTTTCGGGATTCTAACCCTGGAGCGTTAGCCGCCATTTTGATTAGAAGGGTGATTTTGTAAATATCTCGCTTATTTTCAACTTTAGAGTGAAAGTGGTAATAACCAAACTTGTAGAAAATTTAATACTCTACAATTTTAATTCTTATCATTTTTTACCTAGGATCGATATGTTGGGTCTTAGATTCGAAAGTGGGGGGTAAAATTTTTTTTTTTTTTTTTAATTTTTTGAATAAACGCGCCATAAACTCTACCCCCGTGGTGATGTGGAAAAGATGTTTTTCATTATACCAAGTAAATTCAAAAAATAAAAAAAAATAATAAAATTTTACTCCTCCACTTTCGAGTCTAAGACCCAAAATATCGATCCTAGGTGAAAAATAATAAGGACCAAAATTGTAGAGTATTAAATTTTCTACAAGTTTGATTATTACCACTTTCACTCTAAAGTTGAAAATAAGCGAGATATTTACAAAATCACCCTTTTAATCAAAATGGCGGCTAACGCTCCAGGGTTAGAATCCCGAAAATCCGGTTTTAGACTACCCATGACCCTCCAAAACAGTCAAACAAAAAAAATCGCTTCCCGGAATTAATTCCATTTAAATGTCTCTATTGACTGGGCTATCGGGCAGCCCCGTTGGCTTTCTCCGGGGGCAGCTGCTTTGGCGTCCTTGTCCGCCTTGTTGGTCGAGTCTGAGTGCGGTTAATATCGCTATCTCCTTTTCGCCTTTAGCTCGCACGGATTGTTCCCTACCGATAATCTATTTACATCGTCCACTTTAAATTTCGTGTAACGTTTCCTGCTCGCCTGAGTCAATTTAAATAATTAATCATTTAAGTATTATTACATACGGTATTGCATATTATACAGAACATTTTAGGTCAGGTCGTTTTAGATATCGATATTATACATGTTATATGGAACACATTATATAAAGTTATTTCAGGTATCGCATTTAAAGTATCGGTATTACATATTGGATAGAATATAGAATAATAGAATAATATCTGTATATAGGAACTCCCGACGAGTCGGATCGCGTCAATGTTGAGGGGAATATAATACTGTTACAAATTAATGTATCTTTTATCTCATTTTTTGATACAGGTTAGGACAGCGATCTAACAATAAGTCGAACAAAGGATCACACAGTGAATAAAGAGAATTACCGGAAATTTAACTTGGAATTGAATCAAAAAATTAATCAGAGAAAATAATTTCTATCGATTGTCATACTATCTTACTGCGTTTATCAACAAGGCAGTCTTGATCTTCTCTGTGTAAAAGAAAAAAACCATGAAAGAGAACAAATGTTGGGACATGCGGTTAGTCTTCTTCTTCTTCTTTTATTTTATTGGCTCCTGCCTCTTTTCAGAGGACAATACGGCCAGCATTTGCCACTGTTTGTTTAACAAAGTCTGGAACACGTTAGCGTGACAAAGTTTAAATGGAAATCACTGAAAGTCTGAGTGGGGATCAATGCAGGCAGTAACAGTCGCAATACTTAAGGCTCCTGGTCCCTGAGCCGAGAACTCTGCGTTGACGGTGGCAACGTACCGTCGCGGCAGAAATCAGAACTTTCTTCTCTCACTCTCTCCAATGGAGAATTCTGTCTTGTGACATGTTGACAACCTATTTTGTTGTGCGTGCTATTTCTTTATTATTCGCTCTGTGCTTGTGCTCTAATGTTTAACGTATTCGTGAAAGTCGTAAAATTGGCCGAAAAGTAAGATTTGCATGCGGAAGGAACGTTTTCACCTCCTTTCGATAGTCGTTAAACGGCTGTTTTTCCCGTACGTTTATAGGCTTCGTTTTATGGCTGTTTGTTTATTGTCGAGGGAAAAGGGTAGTTTTCGGCCAATTTCGGAAGTGTTCTGAAACGATCTATAGTGATGTTTTAATGAAATGTCTTTTTATTTGAAAATGGCATGCACAACAAAATTGGGTGTTTTCCTCGCCTCGATAGTAAGAATCCAATATGGCCGCGGTGACTACCCAGGAACCTTAAAAAAATTTTCCTTCCGGACAAAACACGTCCGAACCGGTCCGCGCACGTTGAGCAAATAGACATGCGATGGAGTCCGCATGTGAGACTAAATCCGCGAAGCTTACCCAATGTCAATGGTTGGCTAACTGATTCTAAAATAACGAATTCAAATTAACACAGTACTTGACATAGACTTATAAGTAAATTAAATTATAACTCAAATAATTATTAGGTTCTTGATATTTATTATATCAAAATTTTTTACTCTTATTAATATTGAAATACATTTGCACCGTAATGAAAGATGTATTAAACCAAAAAATTACACACATAACAAAATTTAAACATTAAAACTCATGCAGTAAGCCAATTGACCGAATAGAGCCTAGAGTTTTAAATTGTAGCCTTGTCTTTTTCACAATTTCCGATTAATTAGCCGATTTTCTTCCTGCTTTAACTGCTTACGTTTTTTCATGTGCTTCTTATTGGCCTTATATTCCAAAGGAAATGAAGAATTAGTAAGATAAAGATTAAAGATGTCCTGTAAATATTTACATACTTTTCTATATATTCCGATAGAAAATTCATTATTTCTAACAAAGTAAAAAAAGTATAATAAAAAAGTATAAAAATAATATGGTTACGGAAGAATAATGTGTACACTTTTTTTATAATGGTTGCTCTTTTACAAATAAAAAAGTAATCAGTATTAATTATTTACTTATTTGGTATCAAAGTCATCTCAGCCTTCCACTGTTCTACCCAGTACACATCCTTTTCTGCAAGGACCAACGTTACATTCATCGTACGTTCGTTCATCAAGACCGTCATAACGACTATCTTCTGGTTATCCTTAAAACGTTTAACATTCTCGCTCTTCCAATCGGACGTACTGTGACATTTGTACAATTTGACGATATTCTGTAAATCATTTGTCGCATCATTACCATTATCACGTTTCAAGTTCTAGTTTATTTTAATACCGAGTGATTTTTTACACTCACATCGTGCGTCACAACTACGAAAGTATCGCCGTCCATGTGAAAAATACTTATCAGGCTATGCGGTGCGATGTCGGGAAGACTGAACCAATCCAGCAATTCACTCCCTGATAGAAACAGTATATAATATTCTATAGACAATGTTTTATTTAAAAGAAAAAGGAAATGAAGAAAACAACTTTATTGGAATGCACGAACCGTCCCAGCAGAGCACGTTGGTCGGTCCTAAGTTATTTATCATCAGGATGAAGTTGAAGTCTCCGTGAACGTAGTGATGCACCGAGGTCGGACGTGCGGTGGACAAGAACTGTAGCCTCACCATGTTGCTGTCTTTGAATTCATATACCTCGGAACCGATCCACGGATTCTCGGTGTTGCTCTGGGCGAATACGATGATCGTCGATCGCCGGTGCTCGAACTTAGTGACCGATAACGCGCCGATTGTCATCACCTGGGTGACGACGTCCATGTACGTACCGGTCCATCGATAGATTCTGCCATTCGACAGAGCCGCTCAGTACTCTCGTACTAAGCAAGAGAAATAAAAATTTGAAAAAAAAAAAAAAAAAAAAATATTTATGGGGGCATCTGTTTCTGCTGTCTATTTCGAGATAATCGACAGACTTATTTAAATAAATCTGCCTCTCTGTCTCTCTTTTTCAGGAATAAGCTTGTGAGACTCACACGGACGGTATGGAAAATTTGTCGGCATTATTGGCGATGATAAGATGGAGTCGGTCGTCCTGTGTGAAAAATTTAGCATCTACGGGGATGCCTCTGTATCCTATGGTGTGGCGGAATCGTAATGGGTGACTCGGTTTTGCCGTGTAAAAATCGCACAGACTGGGCTCGTAACACACTAACAGGTAACTGGTGTTCTTCCACACGATGCTCTGCGAAGATTGCAATCAAGTGTAATTTATTTATATCGTGGCATAATGATTATAAATAAAGTCAAACATATTAAAAGCATAATAAAAGTATTATATGTATATAAATATAAAGCATTTATAATATAAAAGATATTTATATTATATTATATTTTATAATATAATATAAAAAGTTATATAAAGTGTTATTTCAACAGAGATATTTTTGAAGATTAAGATTTATATTGATGTCGTTAGAGAAGTGATTCGTACCCTGACGAACTTAACGACGGACTCCTCTCTGATCCGATAAATTTCGCGAAATCCATCGTAGGTCTCGTTCCAGGGGGTCGCGTTGAGAGAGGGTGCCATCACACGATTGCCGTCGATGATGAACACCTCGTCGAGCATATTCATGGTGAACGGCTGATAATCGCCTGTTATAGGTACCCGCCATGATCTGTCCCATTGTACTCTATACGATTTTTCTTGCACTGTGAACAAAACGCTTTGCTAAGTATCTCATCTCTCGATTAAAAAGATTATTTTTAGTTTTGATATGGAATATATGTTGTTATGTATTTAATCGGTAAAAATGGAAATTGTTGAACTTTTAGCACGATCGCGGTTCGTAGAGACATCCTCTTGACAATGAAAAAAAAAAGAAGATATATTCGTCGTTGGAATAAACTCGTTACTCGAACTTACCCGGCGACGTCTTTTGGATGTAAATCTTGATGAATTCTATCAAGGACTGTCGAAGTTTCTCGTCCAGATATTCGTTCAAGTCCGTCACGTGCACGGCAAGTAACTGTAGAGAGGCACAAATTGCCAGCTGCAAATAGATACTGAAATCGAAGGAAAGGCGTTTTAACGGCAATTCTTCTGCATCTATTTACATCGAAAAAAAAATAACAGTACTCACAAATAGAAAGAGAAGTTTCATGGTTTTTTCGCGTGATATTCGGGTGATCTTCTATACGCGCCGCGCGTACGAGAGGCGAGTGTGTGAATGTGATAAATGTAAATAGATATACATATATGTAGAATCAATATTATGAAGCATGGGATATAAATATGAATGTATTCCCATTTTAAACCAAACAACACGTATCGCGAGAGCGAGACAGAAGGTAACGTGCTACATACAGAAAACGTGCGATGTCTTATCGGAGACCTAGGTGAATTAACGGTTATAATACAAAATAAATGAGCGTTCTTTAAAAAATTTGTGAGGATCTGCTTTATATAAGAGAAGCATAAAAGATTTTTTAAAAATATCTCTTGTGCATAAAATTTAAGTTAAATTTAAACAACGAAAAATATCAAACAATGAAAAATATTATTATTTAATTGACTTATTTGAAACGAAGAATATTGTAGCTTTTTTATATTCAATGTTATGTTATTAATCTTTTTATACACATGTTTTTATGTACAATGTTATGTTACGACTACGGCGACTACCTCCTCATCAAATCATTAGATTCGGGATATTCAGTGCTGTTGCAGAATATTAGCAAAAGTATAGCAAAATTCGTCATCCAGCGCGTGTCTTTAGATACACTTTACATATTGTAAGACATTGCCAGAGGAGAATAAAAAGAATGAGGGATAAGTTTGGCAAATTTCACTTTTATTTAACACTCGCTTTTGCGTCGCGATACGTTTATGATTTTTGTTACGTAGTTGAGATTTTATTTCAAAGTGCTGATAATATTGTGCAACATTTTCCTCAGATATCAAACACTTTGTTTTATAAAATAATTTTGTCTCTAACATGTTATTTTCTATAATTCTTTTTTTAACTGAAATTATTTCACAAAATGATTTTCTTATCGCGACAAACGTGTGTACATTATTGAGATATGATAAATCTATTATGGTCCAGATTTGGTTTTGAGAACATATTTGAAACGATGCACATAAATTGGAAAATAGAATTTGTATAAATATCTGTATTAAATTTAGCAATCGAGGAAATACTTTTGTAACTCTATATATTTAAAAAAAAATCACTCGGAATAATTTAAACACACAGTGGTCCACAAAATTATCGTAATACTCAATTCATATTAAAATTTCGCATAACTTGAACTTGAATAAGTTCAAATAAGCATATCTCCGCGAAAAATTATCGTATTTAAAAAATTTTATTTTAATTTCAAAGAATAAAGTCTTTACTTTAAAGATGTTTTTGTTAGACTTTGAATTGATTTTCTTCCCCTTCCGCCATCTTTCCAAACGTAAGGATATGCTTTGTTTCCAAGAAAAGATATATTTAGCATGACGCACTCTGCGGAATGGAATAAATTTTTTTCGCAAATGTCATGATAACCATCGTAAAATATAGACGTTTTCTTGCAAATTAAAAAAAATTGAGATCCGTACGCTTCTCTTTCGCGGAGTTACGGCGTATCAAAGTTACCTATGCACTTTTGGTGTGTTACCGCCAGCTTTAGCTTTACTCGATAAGCACCACGGGGAAGTTGCTGATCGGACTTTACTCATTGCTTGCGCGCGCGCGCGCGCGCGTGTGTGTGTGTGTGTTGGGGGAAGAATGTGGGTATGTTTGCACTTAAAACTGTGTATTTCCGCCTCATCTTCGGATGATCTCTTGCAGATGCTCACATGCATATTGATGCAGGTTGTAATTGGCTGCAAGAGATCATCTGAATTCAAGAGTCGGGATATCCAGGTCTATATACTTAGGTCGTTTTCGGCCGTGTTCGGCTCACATCATCAGCACTGAGAGCATCGCTCTAGAGAAATCATTGTTGCTCCGTAAGTATAGAGTGATTGACAGATTATTTAAAGGAAAACAGGGATTGCCGGCGTGCGATTACTTGTAAATCAATCATAAATTTGATCTGGGCCTTCTCGAGCCGATATAGACCCTGTCCTCTCTCAGTTCGATTGTTTCGAATATCCTCTGGCCTCGTACTTTATTACCCGCTACATGCTCACGAAGAGGACAGGCCTCCGCTTGTAAGGAGCTCGTAAATTCGTCACCATACTTGGCTCCCGCCGCAAAAACCTCGAAGCGAATCGCGCTATATTTCCCACAGAAAACTTAAGGCACTACCCACATTCAGAATGCCTTCGTGATTAACTGATGATTAAGTAACCCAAAATATCGTAGTATTTAATAGGTATTGTGATGTGATGTGATGTGTGTGTGTGTGTGTGTGTGTGTAGAAAAATAAAAGATTTATATTGGTGACAGAAAAATTATTTAAAGTATGAAGCAAACCTTTGAACAATTGTAATAACAATCGTTTAAATAATGTTATATACTCAAATAAAAAAAAATGAATATTGAATAAGCTAAGAAAACAATAAAAGCTACAGTAATGCTAAAGACAATGGTAAAAAATAAAAATTTTAACAGCAGCAATATATGATTCTAGCGGAGATTCTTATAATGATTACTGGTAAAAATACTTGTTATAAAATAAAAATAATAATAATTGTATTGAGAATTTCTCTTTTAATCTATCTAAGGGCAATTGCATGCTAGATAATAATAATAATAATAATAATAATAATAATGCAAAAAAGTAATTTAAATAATAAATATTACAAAGTGAAATGACTCCAACGTCTAAAAAATCGGGTATAATTTTCATATTATTTTATATTGAAAAAATTGTGTCCAGATCTGGAAATACGTATCTGTCCACTTACAATTAGTATTATTGATGAAAGCTTGTAACAATATCTCTCATGGCGATACAATAGATGGGCGAAGATCAAAATTTGTCGGACGTCTTTGTTTTACCTGTGAAAACTTGTTAGTTGGCTCCGTCATTAGTCACGGTACCTTTAACGCCTCGTAAAACCGAGATACGTACCACTCAAAATAACCGGGGCCACGCCTATTATATGCGTGGTGATGCTACAGGATCATTTGGGTGACTTACGCTCGCAAATGGGGCGCGCTGATAAATTAGCGCATGGTTACGAGGCGACGCGCTTTTTCAAAACGACCATCGGACCCCTGCTTAGCCCTTTTCTAATTGGTTTCCATTTCGACAACGACATGTGGCTTATGTGTATATTTCCTTTTTCAGCAAACGCAATCGATCATATATATATGTCGTTAAGAACTGAATTCGAGTAGCGTTCGAAGAACAGCGATATATCGAAGAGAGTAATTTTATATTTTGCTTTTATGATGCAACATCGGTCTCAAGGGAAAAATTATGATTGTAATTTTTAAAATGTGAATTTTATTACCCACGAAGACAATTAAGTTTGAAGCTATAAGTAAAATCTACTTAAAATTAATTGAAAAAGTTTTTACTTATTTTTACTTGGAATTTTTTTGAATTTAGCTCATCATAGAAGTTTTGTCATTTTAAATAAATAATGTCATAGCGAAAGTTATGTGATTATAAATTATATCATATTGTTTATTTCTTATTTAATATAAAAATGTTATTATACTATAATGTTAAAATCAATTGGATTGCGTTAGGACATTAACTCTCTTATATTGCTTGATAATTTTTCAATATCGTTCGATTGCTAACGAAATAGACAATTATATTATTAGTAACACATAATTGTGGCAAAAAAATTGCTCATCTGATCTCTAAATTTCAATTCAAGTTCGGTTGAATTCCTCTTTTTTTTTCATGGCGCCTCATGATCCGCCCTTCATATATGGCCGGGCCTTAAGGACGGACTTCAGGAAATCACCCTGAACAGGAAGGTGAGAGGGGAAGGAACAACGGGGCCCGGCGCTCCGCATACTAAATCACAGCCGCACGTCCGTTTCTTTACATTGCGCAGATTTTATTGATTATTTTACGACCGGGAACATTGTAAATCTCTTCATCCCGCGCCGGCGGCCCTCCCGGCGTCGTCACGAGGTGGCCCCATTGGGCGCCCATAGCGCCAATTATGCGAGTCGAAAGGTATTGTTGCCATATTCGTCTTTCGATACGGCAGAAGAGTTTCGCGTAACATCATTCCAACGGCTTTGCGTTATAAATTTTTGCCAGCCATTTGCCTTGTTGATTCCATGAGGGCGAGCGTGCACGTACGGATAATCAGACACTTCAAAGTGGAATAAAGATATTATTTTATCTCTTATTTATATATCGCCAATTATATATGCGATCGAAGAATCAGTGTTATCACATTTATCTCGATATGCTGGAAATATGTTGCAATTTATTCTATAAATAAAACAAATTGAACCGTTACCTTATATCTATAAAAAAAATATCTTAATAATATATATACATTCTATACAAACGGAAGATACATAACAAAAAAAAAAGGTTTTTTGGTTGTTTAATTTTACATAAAAAGTAAAATTTGGAAAATGTACATAAATAATATTAGAGAAAATGTACGTGAGAAATAATATTCTTTTATTGTCTTTTTATGAGATACATTTTATCTTCGTGCAGCACTAAAGAAGAACTGTGATGCTCCTGAAAGAGGATAGGACAGGATTTGGTCTGATTTACGCGCGATGCGCACCGAACAATGTTGTTCGTTTTCGCGGTTTGCTAATGGCCGCCGCCGGTGCCTTAATTACAGCCAAATACGGTCCAATCAGCCCGCCGGGGGCCGCCGGTGTTGGATCGTTTCGCGATTTCCAGCCGGCCGGCATATTGTCGGGGAGGAAACACGACGATGTGCCCCCTCGCTCGCCGTTCTTCCACCAACCGACGCATTCGTTCTGTCGTATATATCGACGACGTCATGGGCGCCGCCATGGAGGTGGCTCCCTGGATCCATGTATCGAAGGAGAAATTCGATTTCCGAGCACGACAAAGCTTGACCGATCCGAGCGCTGGGAACTCTTTATTGCAAGGTGCTTGCGACGGAAAGAATATCCGTTTCCTTATTTATTTTTGAATTTATACGGTTTG